TTTTTTTTTTGTGGAACTGGGGATTGAACTCAGACCCTTGCGCTTACCAGGCAAGCACTTATTCTACTGAGCCATCTCCCTTGCCCCAGCTAATTTTGGATACATAATTACCCTACTGACTAAGAATTTCAAGTGAAACATCTATTATTCTCTGGATCCCATTAAATTTATTTATTCATTTATTTCTTTTTAATGGATTTAGTATAGGGTCTACAGGGTTTCACCACACAGATCAGACTCCCAAGCGCTGGGCTTATTGGTTGGTGCGCACCACCACGCTCAGTCTCATTTGCTGTCTCAGTGAGCTCCAGGGGTGGGGCTGGCACTGCAGGCAGGGGATCCAAGCCCAGCTGCTGTGCTCTGCCTAAGTAGGCACTTTAGTCTGCTGAGCTCTCTGGCGGTCCTTCCATTAAATTTTTGCTTCAATCTTTCACTCACTTTCCTACTCTCCACTATCACTTTTTTTTTGGGGGGGGAAAGGGTCTCTCTGTGTGGTCCAGGCTGGTCTCGAACTTGCAGCACTTCTGCCTCAGCCTCCCATATTGGGATTATAGGCATGTGTCATCATTTCTTTAGGTGAAGCTGTCACTTTCTTGGCCTAATAAAAATTATCATGTGGTCAGGAGCACTATCTTCTCTGCACTGTACTCCAAGCGATTGCATTTTTGAAGCAAACTGAATTGTATCAACCTTTAATTTTTTATTATTATTATTTTTCCTTTGTTTTGTTTTGTTTTTTGAGACAAGGTTTCTCTATGTAGTTTGGGCTGCCCTCAAAACTTTTATCGCTCTTCCTGCATCAACCTTCTGCGTGCTGGGACTATTAGGTATGCACTACCACACCCAGCAATGCTTACCTTTCCTGAACATTTAATGTGCTTTCACAGATCATCAATTTACTTTGTTCACACCAACATATTATTTTTTCACTTTTCTGTGTACTTTGAAAACAGTTAAGCAAGGTGCAGTAGCACATGCCTATAATCCTAGCACTTTGAGAGTTGCCAACAAGCAGTAGTACCACAGATTTTTTAAAAATTAATTAATTAATTAATTAATTTACTTAGTACAGGGTCTCGCTACACTGCTTAGCTTGTAGTGATCTTCCTATCTCAACCTTCCCAGCACTGGGGTTACAGGTGTGTACCACCATGCCTGGTTCTGGGGCTGGCACGGTGCACCTGGGGTTCCGGGGCTGGCAAGGCATGCTGTACCAGGGACTGAGCCTGGGTCCTTGTACATGTCGGGCAGGCGCTCAAACCACCGAGCTATCTCCACAGCCTGAGCACAGTGAGTTTGAGGGCAACCTGGACTACAAAGTGAGTTTAAGGACAGCCTGAACTGCATAGTGAGACTGTCTCAAAAATAAAATAAAATAGGAGCCAGGGAGATGGCTCAGTGGAATAAGCGCTTCCCTGGCAAGTGCAAGGGCCTGAGTTCAATCCCTGGTTCCGCAATAAATTAAATAAATAATTAAATTAAATTAAATTAAATGAAAATAACTGCTGCCATATTTTAACCTAGTCTGGGCAACTTAGTGAGACTTTGTCTCAAAATAAAAAAATTTAAATTTTATTTATTTATTTGTGTGGGTGTTGTGTGTGTGTGTGTGGCCAGCTCAGCCCACCAGGGGGCGGGGCTGGCTGACATGTGGTGCTGGGGGATTGAACCACAGTCCCTGTGATTTGCTAAGCTTGTTCTAAGTAGGTGCTTTAGACCACTGAGCCATCTCACCAGCCCCAAAATAAAAAATTTAAAGAGGCTGGGGATGTAACTCAGCGCAAAGGCAATAGGTTCAATCTCCAACACTAAAAAAACCCCAAGCAAATAAAAAAAGAAACTAAGGAATCATCACAGGGGAAGAAGGGGAAAGAGGAAGTAAAAGAAATTAAAATGTGCTCTGTACATATACCAACTCCCCACAATGAATGTTATAATTATATACCGCAAACTTGTGCTAATAAAAATTTTTGGGCTGGCCAGATAGCTCAGATTAGAGCACCTGCTTTGGCAGACAAAGGGTGCTGCCTCTGGGACATGCTGAGAAGGCGACTGAGACTGGGCGTGGTGGCGCTCGCTTGTAATCCCAGCATTTGGAAGGCTGATAATAGGAGTAACACTATGAATCGGATCTGTGTACAGTGAAACCCTGTACTAAATACATACAAAATAAAATAAAAATTTTGAAAACAGACCCAGTGCATAGCTATAATACCAGCACTTGGAAGGCTGAGGCAGGAGGATCACCATGAACTTGAGGCCAGTCTTAGCTACATGAGTTCAAAGCCAGCCTGTGCTTACATAGTGAGCTTCAAACAAACCAACAAATGAAATTATTACAGCTAATTTTTAATTCTGAAACAATTTCCATATTACCCAGTGTGCTTTAGGGCTATATACTGCCTCATATCAAACTGATATACATTCAGAAAATACAAAATGACTTCTACTTCTGTCTCAGAGGAAATTTAATTAAAAGGGGAAGAACTAGGTGTGGTGTCACATGCCTGTAACTCCAGCACTCAGGAGGCTGAGTGACATAGAAGGGAACACGAGAGTTCCATGCCAGCCTGGGATACACAGTACTACTCTGTCTCCAAAAAAGAAGAAAAGAAGAAGAGAGGAGAGAGGAGAGAGGAGAGAGGAGGGGAGGAGGAAGCAGGCGTACTATAGCACACATATGTAATCTCAGCTCTTCAGGAGGCAAAGGCAGAAGACTCAAGTGTGAGGAGCTCAGGTCAGTAACTTACAGAGACACTGTTTCAAAATTAAAAAAACAAAACTGAAGTTTTAGCAAAGTAGGAGAATGGCCCAGGATTCAATTCCTAGTACCAAGAAGATAGAAAGAAAAAAAGAGGAAGGGAAGGAGGAAGGAGGGAGAAAATGACACTGAGTTAGAAGGGTGAGACATAATTTGATAAGATGAGGAAAACTCAGTTTATTTTTGCTTTTTGGATTTTTTGAAGATAAGCACTTGCTATGTAGTTCAAGCTGGCCTTGAGTTCACTTTGTAGCCCAGGCTGCCTTCAAACTTACAATGATCCTCCTGCCTCAGCTTCCCAAATTCTGGGATTACAGGTATGTGCCACTGCACCT